CACTTTCGTTTGTTTGTTTTTTGTTTGTTTTTTTTTTTTTGAGACAGGTTTTCTCTGTGCAGCCCTGGCTGTCCTCGAACTCACAGAGATCACCTGCCTCTTCTGGGATTAAAGGCATATGCCACCACCGCCCGGCCAAATACTGTTCTTAAACTCCTTTCTCCCTCACAACAAACCTTGTACCTCCCTATTTCTATTATTTATTTTATGAAAAAAAATATGAGGTTTGTCAAAGTTGAAAAACTGCCTAAGGCTAAAACAGTGGCCAGAGCAGAGCTGAAAGCCAAGTTGATTTAAATTTTTGTTAATTTAACAAATTTAAATTGTTAATTTAATAAATTTAAATTTTTGTTAATTAAAGAACTCTTATTGTTTTATTTTCTGTGTATGAGTGGTTTGCTTGTATGTATGTCTGTGTACCAGACAAAGGTCAGAAGAGGGCACTGGCAACCCTCCTGCAACTGGAGTTACAGGTGATTGTGAGCTGCCATGTGGATGCTGGGAGTTGAACCTGGTGCCTCTGGAAGAGCAACCAGTGCTCCTAACTGCTGAGCCATCTCTCCAGTCCTGTGTTTCTTTTCCCGTCTCTGCTTGCAAAAGACTATGTTGCCCAGGCTGGCCCTTAAACTCCTGGGCTCAAATAATCTGTCCTCAGCCTCAGCCTCCAGAGTAGCTGTGAGTACAGGTGGACGCCACTGATCACCTGATCTGTCCTTGGTTACAAAGCTCGGTCCGGCACGCTGTCAACAGTACACGAGTCTCCATGCCTCTACATACAAGTACTCTTCACCGACTGTTACACAGTTCTGAGACTTCTGGTTCCTGAAATTGGAGCTCCTCACATTCCCTTCTTCCTGCTCCCAGCAGGTACCCTGTGAGAGATGAGGAAGCCCTCAAGACTAGGAATTGGTCGAATTAGTTCTTGGTAGCCAAACCTGTGTTTGGGGTAGCCCCTCAGTGGTCTGAGGATTCCAGAATCTTCCACCCCATCAACCCTAAACTTGTTCACCAACCCTAAACTTTCAAATTTTCCCTACCCAAATGTGCCACAGACCTCTAGACCAGTGTCCTGCTTGCTCACTGCAGTTGCCTGCCTCTCCTATTTGGCTCTGAGTCCGAGGATCACCAGTTTTCTTCTCCCGGCCCAGTGCCCCCACATTATCCTGCCAAGGAATTCCCACCTTCTATCCTATCCCCAAACTCCGGGCTGGAGCGGCAGGATTCCTAACCGGGAGGGAACTCCCATCTCAGCCCTGGCCGCCCTTAGGTCAGGGCAGGGAGAAGCACTCCCAGCCAGGCACTGGCGCCTATTCGCCTGCTTCACGGAAAGAATGCCTTTAATAAATCCGGAACGGATTTGCATCACTGCAACAAGGGGAGGGCTCACGGATCTCACAAAGCTCCAAAGTTGAGGGTGCCTCCATCCCTTCCCAACCCCAGAGCTGGAGGAGCTGCTGAAAGGCAGAGGTGTGCCCACTGGCCTTGAAACGTGGGTTGTGGTGGTGTTCGCTAGCTGCCTCTTTTGAGACAGGGGAGGAGAGATAGGAGAAGAGTGTGTATCTGTGTGTGTGTGTGTGTGTGTGTGTGTGTGTGTGTGTGTGTGTGTGTGTGTGTGTGTTAGTCCAGCACTCTCCACATACACAATTAAGAATCATTTAGCTGTGTGGTCTTCTCAGGTCCCCCTAGCAGCTACCTCGAGAGCCCTCACATCCTGGGGTGCCCCTGTCTTAGTGACTACATCTGTGCTGATAGCACAGAGTGCAGACTCTAAGTCTTAGCCTGGGCTCTCTTCATGCCTGTCTCAGAATTCCACTCTACTCATACTGTTTCCTAGAAAAGGCCTTTCCCATGCTGCATCAGCTAAACTTTTGCCAATTCTGTAAGCCTATCCTAAAACACCCTTTGCACTGGGCTTGGTGGCTTGTAATCCTAGCACTTAGAAGAGTAAAGTGGGAGGATTTGCATTCAAGACCAACCTGGGCTCTAGCAAATTCCAGGCTAGCCATGACTACATAGTGAGTGAGACCTTGTCTCAAAGAAAAAGAAAAAAAAAAAGACCGGGATCAGGACCAGAATCCATCCCTGTGGAATGCCTGGTTGGTGATGGAGATAACTGTGTGTGACCTTTCCTCCCTCACTCTTAGAGAGATCTGGATGAGATGACCCCCGGGGCTGCCTCCAGCCCCAACCCTGTATAACTAGTGATTTCTTTGATCTCTCAGCCTCTTTGGATGACCCAAATTTTGGGCAGGTATCAGGAGTATATCTGAAATCCTCCCACCTCATTGGAATTAGCTAATAAGGCAATTGTGCAAGGTTACCAGGAACCTCCAAGTGGCAGATGTAACATCAATCCAACAAGATACGATCCCAGTGGGAAAGTCCCACTGCCCCAGGCTACTGAGAACCAGACCTGCTAAGAAAGCCTCAAAGCCTCATTTACAGTCGGTCCCCTTTCGACACATTCACACTGTCATATGAACACCAGAGGACAAGCTCAGGGCCACCATGTTTTCTACTCCAGTCTCCAGCCATCTCCAATAAACAGTTCACCCCCCTCCCCCAACACAAGGACCTGAGTACCTATCACATGCTCAGAATGACACTCTGCACCTTTCAAGCTGGACACTTGGACCACTGCTCCGAGACTCCCATCCGTGGGCTCTCATTACCTACTGAAGCCTCATGGAACTAATGCTAATCTGAAGCCAAGGTCCTCAGATTCAGATAGAATCTGACTTGCAATTCCAGTTCTGTTACACCCTAGGCAGGTAATCTTAGACATGCTATTTACTCTCCTTGAGCTTCAGCCCATTAATCTATTAACAGGGCAATGAGGACTCGAGGGGGGAGGGGTAACTCCCTGTAATGTGCATACTTAGCATGTTCAAGAGACCCTGGGTTCACTCTGTAGAACAAAACCAAACAAAACACCAGAGTGACAGTTGTGGACATTTTATAAGATTTCAGGAAAACACACATCGATGCAAGAATGTCAAATGTAAGCATAATTTCTATTGCTGTTTGCCTTCATTCTTCCAGGAAGCTGATTAATGCTCAGATGTGATTAACAAGATTCTCTCTCAGGACCTTACTGTGGGGACTCTGAACCCCAGTACCTGGGGTACATGTGACATTGATGTAAATCAAGGATCCGCATCTTTGAATAGTCTGTTTTTCCGAGAGACCCTGTATTCTTTCAAAACTAGGTGCAGAGATATCTGAGGCAGAATTTCTCTAAACAAAACCTGGAATAAACAATATTAATGCAGCTGGGCATGGTAGTGCATGCCTTTAATCCCGGCACTTGGGAGGCAGAGACAGGCAGACAGACCTCTGCAGGTTCGAGGCCAGCCTGGTTTACATAGTGAGTTCTGGGACAGCTAGAGTTACATAGTGAGACCCCGTCATAAAAAAACTACTACTAATAATAATAATAAGATGATGCCCTAAGGACCCAAATAGACTTCAAAAAGCACAAAGAAGGTTTGAGGCTCAGAGAGGTGACAGGCTTTGCCAAAGGTCACACAGTATGTGTAAGTATGTAGACTGACAGGTAACTAAGGGCAGGGTGTGAAATGGAAGTGTGAGCAGAGGTCAGAGTAGAGATATTGAGCTGAATCCACAGACGAGCAGCCCATGAGGCCCTTCAGCTGACATTGCCCCATTTCCCATGCCCAGCAAGGCCTGGCATTTGCCTGTCTTTGGAACTGCTCCTTCTGGGTTCTTGAGTTTGTAGTAGCTTCCCAGAAACACTAGGTAAATATGTTTATTATTAACCAATAACCAGCCCCAGAGCTCTGCAAGGGTCCCCATACAACTTTCCCTCAAGACAAGCTGGGTGTGAGCCAGGTGGTGGTGGTACATGCCTTTAATCCCAGCACTCAAGAGGCAGAGGCAAGTGATCTCTGAGTTTGAAGCCAGTCTGGTTTACAGAGTGAGTTCCAGGACAGCCAGGACTGTTACATAGAGAAACTCTGTCTCAAAAAAACAAAACAAACAAACAAACAAACAACAACAACAAAAACCAAACAAATAAAAGTTCCTTTCTTGTTTAATGTCAATTTATTTTATTATTTTTTTAAATGATTACCGTTTATTATCAGTAAAATATGTGCACAAATACCACAATACAATGGAAATCTGAACCGACTCGCCAGCAACTCCTACTGCCAGTTAGCCACTTGTTCCTCCTTCCAAGCATTTTATTATTTTTTTTTTTTGTGGTTCAGAGGGTCAAACATTGAACTACTTGAGCTATGTACATTCCAAACCTCAGGTTGACTCCCTCCTTCTTTTAATGCACAGCTCCTCTAAGTATCATCTCAGATGCGCTTAACAAGACTCTCTCTCAGGGCCTTACTGTGGGGACTCTGAACCCCAGTACCTGGGGTACATGTGACATTGATGTAAATCAAGGATTCGCATCTTTGAATAGTCTGTTTCTCCCAGAGACCCTAAGAAAAGCTTGAAGTATGTTTTGTTCAGTATCTTTCCAAAGAAAATAGTCTGACATGGGTTGTTGACCTGAAGTGTACTAAGGAGTCCCCAGTACCCTTCCAAAATGTTTTTTATTCTGTTTTGGTGGATTTGTTTTACTTTGAGACAGGGTCTCACTATGTAGCCCTGGCAGGCTTAGAACTTGTTACATAGACCAGGCTGGCATCAAACTCTGCCTCTGGAGTGCTAGGATTGGAGGAGTGTGCCACCACACCAGGCTTGCTTTGTTCTTTTGAGACAGGGTCTCATATAGCCCAGGTTATCCTCACATTCACTATATAGCTGAGGCTGGCCTTGAACTCCTGATCCACTGCACCCTGCTAACCTTCAGAAATGTCTTTGGCTGTGGTTAACCCCAATCATGAAGAAGCTGGAGATACTAGGGCTGAGCTGGTATATTAAGCTTCTTGTTGATACCCCCACTCCTTTTTTCCTTTTCCTTTTTTTTTTTTTTTAAGATTTATTTATTATGTATACAGTGTTCTGCCTGCATATATCCATGCAGTAGAGGGCACCAGAACTCATTACAGATGGTTGTGAGCCACTATGTGGTTGCTGGCAATTGAACTCAGGACCTCTGGAAGAGCAGCCAGTGTTCTTAATCTCTGAGCCATCTCTCCAGCCCAACAAGCAGTGCCCACTTGGCCTGGGTTTTTGAGTTTATTTTCTATAAGTTGCGTCTCAACCCCGGGGTTTCTTCTGTGGGTTCCACTAAAGGCAGAAGGAGATGGCTAGGGGAAGAGAGGGATTGCCGTTCTTCCTGGGGTCACAGGGCAATCCAACACTAAAGCCCAGCACTCAGTTCACCCACCCCATCCCCTCAAGCCCTGTATCTAATGTCCAGACCCTGAGGAGAAGCAATCTCCTTTACAGTCCTTCCTCTCTGGCCTGCCCCAGAGTCCAGTGGAAGAGAGTTTAGTGGGAGGCTGCTGAATGGGTGACAGGGAGGGAGAGTTAAGCCAGGGCAAGGAGCCGGGGGAGGGAACACAGAGATTCCTTAGGGAGCTCTGTAGCCTTCCCCAGAGATGAGGAAGGAACAGAGGCCGGAAGTAGGGGTGTGGGTAAGGGCACTGGTAAGGGTGGGGTGGCCAGGATTGTATTGTGGACCTGGATCTGGGCTTCCGGTGATTGACCCGCTGGTGACAGGGGACTCCAGCCTCGTGCCCCGGGGATTGTCTGGTTCAGCCAGACCCTATCCTTTGACTGTTCGTCCCCCTGCCTGAGTCAGACTCCCAGAAAAACTTACGGAACCCGATCTCAAAAAGCGCCTTCCTGTGGGGCTCTCTGGCCAAGAAAGAAGGGAACCAGGACGAATACAGCATCACACTAGGGTTTAGAGTAAAACAGGGATGCTTCCAATCCAGACTATTCTTCCTACATTCCAAAAGATCTCAAAATGGTCCCTGGACTTCATTGTTTCTGGCGAGGATGACGTGCCCCAGGCCACCTCCCAGGAGCAATCTGGACCCCCTCCTCCAGCCCTTCCGGCAGAACAGTTCAGCACAGCACAGGACTGAAGCTGCCAAACCCGATTTTCCGGTGGCTGCCCAAGGCTGGCTAAAGCAGGAAGCCCTCCTCCTGGCATGGACCCCTCAGGGTACCGTTCTCCTCCCCCTCACCTGATTCCCTGCCTGGGCTGTGCGTTCGGCACCTGTGCCAGCTGTCCCAGTGTGCCACCACTTCCTCCTCCACCTGCTTACCATCTCCCCTGGGCTGCTTCCCCAGCACCATAAGGTGTGGGCCAGTGCTACCCCTCTCTGGGCTTCAGTCTTCCCATCTCCAGATGGAGAACAGCGGCCTTCCCACCGAGCAACTCAGGGGGAGGGGTCTGAAAGTAGATGTGAATAGCAGAGGGCCCCTCGTTTGCTTGGTGGGTTGGTGTGGGGCTGGGAGCACAGCTAGGGTGTGAGGAGGAAGCGCTGTTTGTGGAACTCTCTAGGTAGAACTGCTGAAATGAAGGGGGCAAGGTAAGAGGTGTGTGTGTGCTCCCTCTGGATTCCTTATGTTATCTAGCCGATGGGAGATGGAAGAGAAGAAAGAGACAGACATCATCCTTAAAGCTTCCAGGTTCCCAGGGTTCTGTCTCCCGTTGAGGAAGATCTCTCCTTGTCTTCACCTGTCTCATCTCCAGAACTAGCAACCTCCCTTAAACACAGCAAGCACTACTGAGTCAGAGCTGCAGACCGAGAGGCAGAGGCACCTGAGGAGTTGCAGATCAGCCAGGGCCCTTCACCTAACCCAGGACCCTGCTGCATGCGGTTGCCCTACAGCTCAAGCCCCCTCCTTTAATCTGGGAATCATCCCTGTGTTCTCAGCCACCAAAGAACTCTCTGGTGGGGTGAAAGAGTGAGCTGCACCCAATCATCCAGGGGCGCCATCTAAAGTGAAGGAGTGGGTACCTCTGGCAGTGGCTTCCTCTGAGAGCCTGGAGGGGGAGGAGAATTGGGAACCTGGAGGAGGAGGGGTAATGGAGGAGAAGTCATTGCAGATGGAGCTAAAAATAGCTGGAAGAGATGATGTCATCGAGTTCCCTCTGCTTATCACCCCCCTCATACACATACATAGAAACACATACACACATTCAAAGACACAGATACACAGAGACATAAGCAAAGGCATGAATACTTGCACTACACACAGTGATACTGGGGGGAGGCATTTGGGCCTCAGGGCTGCAAGGGCAGGGAAGTCCGGTGAGTGTGTCTACCTGTGTGTGCCTGAGTTTGCATGAGTATGATTGTATGAGTCTATGTTTATATGCTTGTGTTCTTGTGTGTGGGTGTATGTATGTTTGTGTCTGTGTATGGGCATGCCTCCTGCAAAGGGTGGGTGGGTATCTATTGCATTCTTGTTAGTGCTGATCTCTGTTCATAGCATGTGCCTGAATACATGCATTTGCTAATTATGTTGTATATATGCGAATCCACTTATATTTACATGTCTACACTTGTTAGTGGACTATGTCATGTATTTGGATGTACAGACTCTTTATGGGCCTTGGACACTGGTCCAGCCACCTTCCAGGTGCAATTAAAGTCCAGCAGCTTATTTCCATACCTCGGAGCCCAGCACTCTCTGGATCCAGTGTAACTGTGAATTATCTGCTCTAGCCCTCCCCACAGGATCTCAAGCTCTGGCAGGCTTATAGTAGATGTACTTAACTCATTTTCCCCTTGGGAGAGGAAAATGATGTTAGCCAGGCTTCTTAAACCCCAGATAGGCCACCAAAGGTCTTAGGGATTGCTCCCACCCCCCAATTCTCACACTAGCCCATGTGCAAATCAACTCATTAGAGACAAAGACACTCGCAATGTTTCTACCACTAGACACAACCCCACAGAAACACAACCCACGGAAACCTAGTTAAACCCTATGACACATGGGCACGCACTCAGAAATCCAAATGGAAAATCCCCAGGCCAGACAGAGCGCAACACCCTCCCCTGTTCCTGGGCTCAAACTCAGTCTTGCCCCACCCCCAGTGCCCCAGCTCAGCTGGCAGTCCTGGAAAACGCTGACCTCAGAGGATGGCTGGGGGCTGAAGGTGACATGTCCTCCTCCTACACTAACCATTCTGCCCCCCTCCGTCCTGCAGGCTGCCCCCTCCCCCTCCTGACCTTCATTTTCAGTTGAGCCGACGCTGCTTTGGTTTGCCTCGGCCCTCACAAGCACTCCTTGACTCTCAGGGCTGAGAGCAGAAGCACATTCAGTCACAAAGGCGAATCTAGTCACACGTGCCTTAATGCGCGCATTCTCCCATCACACCCAGGAGCAGCCACACATACATACTGACCAGCACCAGCGTACCTCATACTAGAGCACTTGTGGGGTTCTGTCTTTTCATCCGGTCTCTCTCTTATCTGTGCTTGCTTGTTCTTTCCAAGATGCCTTGTGCCCATGGGAGTGTGAGGCAGGAGAGCCCCTTACCTCACAGGGCAGATCAAAATGCTCAGAACAAAGATGGGTTTGTCTGGCTGACCTTGTCCTGTCCTCCCACTGTCTAACTGTGGTTCACGGGTGCTGTCCCTAAAGTTCATCCCTAAGAATATCCAGCCCCGACCCTATCCTCATGTCCTGCATGGTTGGAACACTTCAGAGTGGGGTAAGACAGCTTAAGCAGAATGATTGTATTTGTTGTTCACCGCTGACTGCCCTCTGGAGGAGCAGGTCCAGTGCAAGACAAGCTTCTGGGCATTTCTAGAGGATCAGAAAGCCCCCAGGTTGACAGAGGTGTCTGAGAACTGGAGAGAGAAAAGAGAGGGAAGATTAAAAAAAAAAAAAGAAGTATTTGTGGAGGCTAGGGGCTGGGGGAGACAACTCAGTGAAGCCCTGGTCCTATTAGCTCCTGAGGTCGATCCCAGAATTCAGGTCAAAAGGCTTCAAGTGGTGGTACATGCTGATAATCCCAGCACTGGGGAGGCAGAGAGACACATGGATGCCTCCTGTCGGATGGTCAGCCGGCCTAGCCTACTTGACAAATTCCAGGCTGGTGAGAAGCCCTGTCTCCAGAAAAGGTGCATGACATCCAAGGTTGTCCTTTGGCCTACACTGCATGCATACACACATGTATGCATGTGTACATGCACGCACACAAAGACAATAGGCATGTGTGAACACCCCACAGCTCATCCATCGCCCTCAAGTCCTCCACTTCAGTCTTGCCATTTTTCATTAAGGCTCTCAGCATTTGGTGATCTGTGCCTTCAAGACCCCGCCATAGCCTTGGGATGGAATTCCACAAACTGTCCCTTAGAGCACATAAGCAGAACAGGAGAACACTTTTACTTTTCAAACCCCCACCTCGAGTCACAGATTCCCCACCCCACACTCCCCCACTAACCTTGTGGTGAGAGGATCCACACACTGGTGGTAGTATTGTTGGTGTCACTGATGTTTGTTGTCATAGTGGCAAGGTTGGTGGCAGCTGGGGCTTGGGGTTTCTGCCGGTATGTTCTGCGGCTACACTTGAACATCCTGGGACACCGGCTCCGGGGCCCACCTATACCTGGCCTTGGGTAGGGAGAACTCATGCCCCGAGGCCGAGGGGCACGGACAAGCTGAGGGGGCCCCATGACTGCAAAGAGCTTCTGAGGGGTTCTGCTGGCCAGGACAACTGAGATCTCTATGACATAAGGAGCCCGCCTAAGGGTGGTCCTCTTTGTTACAGGTTTGGCCCAGCCTCCACCCAGACATAGATCAGACTTCCTCACAATCCTCTTCGTGGAGTCTAGCCTGAGAGCCAGACAACCACAGCTTGGTCCTTTGGGGAAATGAACTCTGGTGGGGGTAGGGGGGGAATCACTTGGTTATTTTTATTTATCCACATTAACAATACTAACAGTATTTATTGAGCACCTACTGTGTGCCAGACACTAAGCTTAGTACTTCACAAACATGATTTCATTGAATCCCACCACAGCCCTATGAGGAGATTCTACTATTAATCTTATTTATAGAAGTTAATTCTCACTCTTCCCATTTAGTTGAAGGTTTACAAAGTCATCATAAACATTGACTTAACAAATACTGAAGCTGCATAATATAACTGTCTGAATCAAGGTTAGCTAACAAAGCTGAGTATGGTGGTACACACCTTTAATCCTGGAAGGCAGAGGCAGGCAGATCTCTGAGTGTGAGACCAGTCTGGTCTATAGTTAGGGCTACACAGAGAAACCCTGTTTCAAAAAACAGAAGCAAAAAAAGGAGGCCGAGTATCTAACACATACATATCCTCTAAAGTATATCACAACTTTCTTATGCTTAGAAATACTAGATTATAGTTCTTCAGCACCACTGGGGCTACTTGGGCCAGCAACACTATTAATGACATAATAATCATCAACAGCAACACACACAAAAAAACCAAAACTAAAACATTTGAGTAAAAATTATTGGTAGTAATTAGACTGCTGGACAAACATTGGCTTGTAAGAGCTGAAACATATTTCTGAGGGCAGAGGGTCCTCCTGTTTAACACACCTGAGCTGGAAATGTGTGTCAAGCACTCAGAACTTTTTCCCTCTGTAAATAATTGTGAAAGTGACACAAGAATTGGTCTTGTAGTTACAGATGAATGTGGTGACTAGGTGAGTTCACAGATATGGAATCTGAATAATGAAGATTGACTGTATAAGGAAACCACCTTAGTGAGGTGTAGTCATAGAATGTGGAGGCAGTCGGGGGTTCAAATCCAATAACTGCCAAGATCCAAAGGCCAGAGCATTCACCTTTTGCTATTCTATGCTCATTTATTTGTTTATTCAGGATATTCGATAACAACCAGGGACATGGAAGAATGTGAACTCCCAGAGTTCTTCCTGAGATGAAAAAGAAAGTCCCATGGAAAAGGGGGTAAGAGATGCTAACCCTGGCTTCACCCGTTCTTGTAGGAAGCAGACAGGAAAGTTAGTGTCTACCCTGCCTGAGCTAAGGTGAGGAACTTTGGATTTGCCCAATTCTCCCCACTTGAACCAGACTCTCTCCCTTCTATCATCTCTTGTACCATCAGTCCTTCAGGAACTTCAGGTCCCAGATTGTGGGGCCTCACCATCCCCCGCTTTGTTTTCCTTAACTTTTAGCCTCTGTACCTATGAGCCCTCTGCCCTTACTCATGCTCTGGGCCAAAGCCTCCTCCCTGGCTCTATATGAAAGTCCTACCTGCCTCCTTAGAGACTCCATTAACATTTAAGATAGGCTGACAGGAAGAGTTCTGGCTCTATCTCTCACAAGTTATTTGATCCTAACAAGTACTTAAGATTTCTCGGCTTCTGTTTTTCCCCATATTTAAAATAGGGATTAAAAAGAAAGTCTAAAATGCGTGTGGAAGCCTAGACCTATAATCCTAGCATGTGGGAGGTAGAGGCCAAGAGGATCAGGAGTTCAAGGTCATCCTTAGCTTTGCAGAGTAAGTGGCCAGGCTGGACTACTTGGGACATACAACAAAAAAACCCAAACCAACCTAGAATAAACAAACAAAAAAGAAAGTCTATTTCATAGGATTGTTGTGCAGAAAAAAAACACGTTGCACATTAAAGCCATGTTTTTTTTGTTTGTTTGTTTGTTTTTGTTTTGGTTTTGGTTTTGGTTTTTCGAGACAGGGTTTCTCTGTGTAGCTTTGCGCCTTTCCTGGAACTTGCTTTGGAGACCAGGCTGGCCTCGAACTCACAGAGATCCGCCTGGCTCTGCCTCCCGAGTGCTGGGATTAAAGGCGTGTGCCACCACCGCCCGGCAAAGCCATGTTTTATTAATATAGTCTGGTATAGTTCTGGCTGGCCTGGAACTCACAGAAATCCACATGACTTTGCCTCTTGAGTGCTGGGATAACAGGCATGACCCACCAAGCTCAGCCCATTTGTTTAAATTTTGAGATGGGCTCTCACTATCTTTTGCCCAGAAGGGTTTTAAACTTGTAGGATCAAATGATCCTCTTGCTTCAACCTCCAGAGTAGCTGGTAATACAAGTTTATTATCTGCAATATTATTAACCCCTTTTCTCTGTCTCTACGACTGCCCCTTTCCTCACAACCATAAAAAATCCACTTCCAGGCTGCAGAGATGACTAAGCAGTCAAGAATGCTTACTACTTTTGCAGAAGACCCTTTAGTTCCCAGCACCCACATTGGGTAGATCCAACCGTCTATAACTCCAGCTCCAGGGAACCTAAGGCTGTTTTCTTCTGGCCTTTGCAGGCATCACACATGTGAACACACACACACACACACACACACACACACACACACACACACACACACATACACACACACACTTTACCACCACCACCACCGTCCCTCACCTAAACCCATCCCATAATCCCTCCAGCAGTGCTCTCTGTTCTGACCTCTTGTGCTCGTTGCTCTGCGCCACAGAGCAGGGAGAAAAACTCATTCTAAAACCCCATAACTTTTCTCTTACACAGACTAGGAAACAAAGACTAAAAAACAAATCTCAGAAATGGCCAAATAGCAGGATGGGGTGGCTCTGCCTGTAACCCTAGTACTAAGGTGGCTGAGTCAGGAGGAACAAGAATTCAAGTTAGCTGGGTGTGGTGGATCACACCTGAAATCCTAGCACTTCGAAGCCTAAGGCCGGAGGATTGCCTCAAGTTTGAGGCCAGTCTGGTCTATAGAGTGAGACTTCTCAAAATAAGTAAAGCCAGACTTGGTGGCTCACACTTGTGATCCCAGCACTCTGGAGGCAAAAGCACACAGGTTTCTGAGTTCAAAGCCAGGCTGGTCCACACCAGGAGCTCCAGGACAGCCAGGGTTATATAGACTGTCATAAAAATTGAAAAATAAATAAATAGGGGCTGGAGAAATAGCTTAGCGATTAAGAGCACTTGCTGCTCTTTCAGAAGACCCAGATATGATTCCCAGCACTACATGGGGATTCATAACTGTCTATAATTCCAGTTCTAGGAGATCTAAAGCCTTCTTCTAGCCTCTGCACATGGTACAGAGATGGACATACACATAAAACACTCAAGCATATTTAGTAAAACTTAAATAAAAAAAAATAAGCTGGGGAGTGATGATACATGTCTTTAGTGCCAGCACTTGGGAAGCAGAAGCAGGTGGATCTGAGTTCAAGGCCAGCCTGGTCTATAGGACCACTTCCATGACAGCTAATCAATGCAGAGAAATCCTATCTCAAAAAAAAAAAAAAAAAAAAATCAAAAATAAATAAATAAATTGTCAGTGTAAGTGACTCACATCTTTAATCCCAGTACTTGGGAGGCAGAGGCAGGCAGATCTCTGAGTTTGAGGCCAGCCTGTGCTACAGAGTGAGTTCCAGGAAAGGCAGCACCAAAACTACACAGAGAAACCCTGTCTCAAAAAAAAAAAAAAAAAAACAAACAAAAAAACAATCAAAAGTTCCCAGGTCCCATGGTCAGATAGCTAAGAAATGACAGAAGCAGAATCTGAATAGCTATAATATCTGAATAACTGGAGAGCAAGACCTTGTAAAGACCCTCTCACTGAGGACTAGTGCTGTGGGAAATCAGAGAGGGAGCCCCAGAAAGAAAGGGTTCCAGAACCTTGGCATGGGACTGTCTCCTTTGTAGGCACACAGTGCCACCTGCTGGCAGAATGGCCAGGGCTGTGCACAGAGGTCCAGGACATGGAGGGGGAAGAAAGAAGAGAAAAAGATGAAGGGAGAGAGGGCTGAAGAGATGACTTAGAGGTGAAGAGGTTGCAAAGGACCCTGGATGGATTTCCAGCACCCACAGGGTGGTTCAAAGCCTCCTATAACTGCAGTTCCAGGGGATTTGATGTCCTCCACTGACCTCTAAGAGAACCAGGCTCACATATCAGGAATAAAATATGCAACCAAAAGGATATTAAAAAAAAAAAAAAAAGATGAAGGGGGAGAAGGATGGGGAACTTGAGGTTTTATGGAGGGAAGAGGAAAAAGAACCATTTCCTGTTCTGAGGAAGGAACAGAGGTTGCCAGACTGTGACCATTTCCTTGAAAGTGTGTGTGTGTGTGTGTGTGTGTGTGTGTGTGTGTGAGAGAGAGAGAGAGAGAGAGCATGTTTATTTATGTGCATATGTGTATGAGTGTGTGTATATGCATGTGTGTGCTCCATTAAATGTGCATGTACGTGTGTGTTCACTAGTGTGTGCATGTACTTGTGTGTGTGTGTGTGTGTTTGCACATTCAGAAGTATCAGTCCATGTTATTATATATGTGAGTTTTGTGTGTAAACATGGATGGCAACCTGAGCAGATGTGGGTGCCAGTGAACACACAGATTCGAGGGAAGGATCATATTACACTACTGTGAGCAGGGCACACGGAAGTTCCGGAAAGGTACTGCTTTCCTGGCTCTGCTGCCCCCTCAACCCCTTTCCTGAGACGAGGAGAGATAGAGCCTGTAGGTGACATTTCCAGGTCGAGATTTACTTATTGCTTTGGGTGTTGGGAACCTATCTCCAGGCAGTAGGGGGCAGCAGGGGCAAAGGAGGTTGATCAGCCATGGGTGGGGCCAGGAGGCGGGCGGGTGGGCGGGCGGCAGGAGGCTTTTAAAGCACCTGCCCCACCTGTACCTGAGCAGTGCTGTGTGAGGACTGAGCAATCCCTCATCTTTCTGCCAGTACACCAAGTGGCAGCTTCCTGGAGCTGTTCTGTTTCTTCAGGAGCGCAGCAGATCCTGTTCAGAACCTATTACCAAGCGCCCTGAGCAGGTGATGGCATAGGGCCGAGATTAACCTATGAATGGACCAATCTGGAAAGAGGTTTGGGGTGCTGGAAAAAGCCAGTGGGAAGGTACTGAAAGAGTCTAAGGTTGGTCTATGAAGAAGACCAGGAAAGACAGGTATCAGAAAAGGGAATTGAGAGTCCTACAGTGTGGGAGTGGGGCTTGTAATACCCGTGTGAGAATCTGGGGATGTTAGGATCAGGGAATTAAGTTCTGATAACAGTATCTGGGTAGTATAGGTGGGCAGGGAACTGGGAAAGTCAGGATGGGAACTGGGAAAAGTTCTGAGATATCAGAGTCCAGACACAGGGTCAGAAATTTGTGAGAAATCACAGAATGTTAGACTCTGGTATGCCAGGGTCCAAAAAGCAGGGCCAGTCCAGGGCAGGTGAGACAGAAGGCCCTAATTTGTACGTGTCTGTTTCCCAGGACCCACCATGCAGTGCTTCAAGTTCCTTAAGGTCATGATGTTCCTCTTCAATCTAATCATCTTTGTAAGTATGGCAATTGTGGGCTTTTGGGGGTTCCCTACAAAAGCAAGTCACAATCTGAACAGTCCAAGCTGGGGAATAGGAGACTATGTACCCAGATGCCTTAAGAATTCTCCTTAAGAACAGGAAGTGAGGGTCTTCCCAAATGCTGATTACTAACCCCACAAATAGCCCGGCTGCCACATGGGAGTTTGGGTGAAGATGGGAAGGTTAGGGACAGAGATGCTTAAGGCTCTCACCTCCCTTCCAGGAAGGACCAGTGTAGATCGGGATAGGCTAGCAGGAGGGATTCTCCCTTTTTTTTCTATAGGCATTCAAGGTTCAGAGGGGAAAGAGGGTCTGCTTAAGTTTATAGTGCAAAATTAACTACCATGAATGGAGAAGTTGAAAGGAGAGCGGGCTCATGCCTCTTCGAGTTGACTCTAGCAACCCTTATGTATTCAATAAACATTCATTGACTAGGCTGACATTGAAGGGACTGGGATTGTTGCTCAGTGGTACAACATTTGCTTAGCATGAATGAGGCCACAAACAAAAAGGAAAACATACTCACTGACTAGCACTCTATGCCATGTGCTAGGGTAGAAGGCAAGCAAGGCCACTCACTGCCCTTGAGGATCTCGGGACCAGTAAACCAAACAGGCTGATAATTGTCAAACAGGCTGATAATTGCTATATACACTGATAATTGCAAAGTGGTACTTTCAGATTTACCACCAAGGCTAAGGGAGTCCCTGGAGGGGTTGAATCTAGCCTGGTAGAAAAATACTTCCTGGAGGAAGTAGCTGAAGCTGGACATTTGCATTGGGTGGGGTGGGGGGGGCTGTAAAGTGCGTAGGAAGGTAATGAAATTTGATATTGTTTAGAAAACCAGGAACAGATTATATAGGGCTTGTTTGAGAAGCTGAGCCATGAGGCCCAAGCCCTGGAGATAGTGACAGAGATAAGAAGAAAGGAACACAGTAAATAAAGGGGTTCGTCGCAGAGGGGTGGTAGAACAAAGAAGAAGTCTTAGAAATAGCTTGAGCAACTCGGGGAGAAGGAAGGGTCATCCCCCAGGCTCATGTGTACTCAGTGGAGGTGCATGGATATTTGAAAGCCATGTGCCTGCTAGCAGCCAATGGAGTTACAGGGGTGGGTGGAACCCTGGCAACAACAAGGGAAAGTCTATCTTCCACCCCCTCCCCAACCTCCGTGTATATTTTAGGACCCCTGATCTCAAAAAAAGTGAGTTTTTGGAAACTGGAAGTATTAGAGATGAGCAGAAAAATAGCCACCGTGAAGGAGACATGGGGCAGTAGGAAGAAAGTGCCAGAAAACAGTGGTGAGGGGCTAGTGCCACCAGAGAAGAACGAGAGAGAGGGGAGAAAGCAGAAACACGAAGTGTGCACCAGCTTAAAGAAATTGGGCAACAGAGCCGGGCGGTGGTGGCGCATACCTTTAATCTCAGCCCTCGGAAGGCAGAGGCAGGAGGATCTCTATGAGTTCAAGTCCAGCCTGGTCTACGGAGCGAGTTCTAGGACAGCCAGGGCTACACAGAGAAACCCTGTCTCAAAAAACTAAAAAGAAAAGAAGGAAGGAAGGAAGGAAGAAGAGAGAAATTGGGCAAAGGGTAGATAGTCTCTTTGACTCCAATGTGGTCTGTACCTTGGACTTCCTTTGGCTGCCTTGAATTAGATTTTATTCATATAACTGAAGGAAGTACGAAGATTTCAACAATTGGGAGAGCCGGGACTCTGGCCTGATAGGGTTAAAGGCAAATCCAGTTTGGTTTCTGTCCTCTGTTGCCCAGGCCTTGCCAGACTGGGCAGAACAAGGTAGGAAGGCCAGGCTCCTTGAAATTTGACCCTGTAGGCTAGGAGCCCAGCTCTCTTGTCCTTAAGCAAACATCCTGGGATACAGCCACAATATATATCTCTTTACCCCCACCCCAGACTCAGTTCCTTAGCTAGACAGTGGGAGCTGGGCACAAGTCAGTGTCCAGTGCTGATCCACCGAAGCCCTTGGGTCAGCAAAGAGTTTGCTAGGAGCTGTGGGACCAAGGCCTCCATTGAACCCCCTCAGAGCCTCAAGATCACCTCTGAAACCTGAGGTTAAATCAGTGTCTTGAAGAGAAGCTGCAGTTGGATTCAACCTCTGTTTTCTCGGTTTTTTCTTGTCAGGCAGTAGTCTAGGTGAAAAAGGAGTGAGTCTGGCAGCTGATTCCACCCTGAAGAGAAATCAAATAGGGCCTTTGGGTAGATGAACCTCTCAACCTCCGCCCCTTTCAAGGTTTCAAGCAGGTGGAAGCCTCACCCTGCTGTTACTATAGTGACTGTTGAGCCAGCTCAACACTACCACCCGCCTGCTTCCATGTATCAGAGAACAGAGTTATTGTAGGCACCCACAGCCCAAGAATGAGTGACTAGACCTGTTTTCATTTCTACCTATGTGGCAGGACCCTGACTACAGAAAAAGGAAAGTTTTGGGCCTCCTCCCAGCCTGTGGATATTTCTAGAACCCCTGATCTCATTTTTATCTTCCCAGGTGAACAGACTGGTGAATTTACGTGTCCCACTTCCCATCTTTCTGGTACTAGTTAATGTTTCCCTCCACACACAATAGGTAGCTAGAATCCCTGGTCAAGGGAAAGTTTCCAGACTTGGTGAGAAAGGGAACCATTACTAGCACTGTTTCAAAGACTAACTTCTGTCCCCAGCTGTGCGGTGCGGCCCTGTTGGCTGTGGGGATCTGGGTGTCTGTCGATGGGACATCCTTCCTGAAGATCTTTGGGCCACTGTCATCAAGTGCCATGCAGTTCGTCAACGTGGGCTACTTCCTCATCGCGGCTGGTGCTGTCCTCTTTATCCTTGGTTTCCTGGGCTGCTACGGTGCTCACTCGGAGAGCAAGTGTGCGCTCATGATGGTGTGTCAGACCCAGCTCCCCAAACCACAACCAAGGGTCCCTTCGTCCCTGACACCAGCCACTGGGGAATCCCAAAAGCTTACTCTGGATTCCGGGAGCCTCACCATGGGGACCCCCTGCCTCTTTTAAGGGAGTGGGTAGGGCAAGGAAGGCCAGTCTTCCCTAAAGTGTACTTCCTTGTCCCCCACCCAGTTCTTTGTCATCCTCCTCATCATCTTCATCGCTGAGCTTACAGCGGCTGTGGTTGCTTTGGTGTATACCACAATGGTGAGGCACAGGGATGGGGCAAGGGAGAAAAACTGACCAAAGCCCCGAGAAGTGGGTGGTGGACCTGTGAATGGCTACTTCCCCTGCCAGTCTCTTAACACTGGCCCGACCCACCCAGGCAGAACAGTTCCTGACGTTGCTGGTGGTGCCTGCCATCAAGAAAGACTATGGTTCCCAGACTGAATTCACCCAAGTGTGGAACTCTACCATGGACGGGGTAAGGTGGGCTGGGAGGATTTGGGAGTGGAGAGGAAAAACAAAAACAAACAACAAACAAAAAAACACGGCCCCATCAATCACCAATCCTATTTTGTCTGCAGCTGAAGTGCTGTGGTTTCAACAACTACACAGATTTTAACGGCTCACATTTTGTCGAAGAGAATAAGGTCTTTCCTTCTTACTGTTGTGGCAAGCCTGGCAATAGCACTGAGGGACCGTGCACCGAGGAGAAGGCCCAAAGTACACAAGTACAGGTACGGGCTGACGTACAAGTACAGGTACGGGCTGACGTACAAGTACAGGTACGGGCTGACGTACAAGTACAGGTACGGGCTGACGTGGGAGGGCGGGGTTACTTTTTTTATTTTTCGAGACAGGGTTTCTCTGGGTGGCCCTGGCTCTCCTGGAACTCTCTCTGTAGACCAGGATGGCCTTGAACAAGAGGTCCACCTGCCTCTGTCTCCTGAGTGCTGGGATTAAAGGCGTGCGCCATCACTGCCGGGCATGGCTGGGATTGTTTTAATGGCCTTACAGTAGTAGTAAATGGGTCAGAGGTAGGGCACTGTCAGCTATAAATACTTTCTCCCCTCCCCCAAGGGTTGTTTCAAACAGCTTCTGCATGACATCAGAACCAATGCGGTCACTGTGGGTGGTGTGGCAGTTGGAATCGCGGCCCTGGAGGTAAGTCAGTGAGGAGACTGGACCTGGGTATCAGTCTCCACTAGACCAGCACAGTTTAGCCCATCTCTGAGGCTTCTCTAGAGGAGAAGGATTTCTTGTGTTTTCATTCTGGAGCTGAGGACTGAACCCAGAGACCTATGGATGCCAAGCATGTCCTCTACCATCGAGGAAGCAATGCTTCATTGTAGGCTATTCAGGGTGGGCAGGAAGCCAATCCTTGATCTCAATCTTGGCCTTTCGTGTCTCCCTGTTCCTCCCCACCAGCTGGCTGCCATGATTGTATCCATGTATCTCTACTGCAATCTGAAATAAGACTGTTTCTACCTCCCCACTTGCTGCTGCCACATGGAAACCAGGAAGAGGCACTTGGCACAGCTAGGCAGCGGTGACCCGGGTGGAGATAAAATCTAACAACGTCATTTGGGCTGAAAGTGGATTTGCCTTTGCTTGCTCTGGACTTTGGGCTAAATAGGGACCACCTCTTCGGGGCTGTGTGTCTGTCTTGTCCTACTGGTGGGGCTGGGGAAACATCTGTTCCAGAGTCTCTGAAGCAGCCACTTCTGCCCATCTCCTTCGTCTTTTCTTCAACCCTTGACACTCCCTTAATATAAAAGTGGCTCTTGATGATCCCAGCACTCCACTGGTGGATGAAGGCACTTATAGCCTGGGCATATTCAAGTCCAGCAAGGTCATAGAATGGATGTGTAGAAGGCGTTTTGGAACCTATAAACCAATGAAAACATTTCTATTTGGACTGTGTATACTTGGAGAGATGGGTCCAGCTTGCCTAAATTGCACCGCTTTTTGTGAGGCTGGAGATTCAGCAGGGTGGAAGTGAGGTAGGTATTTGGGCTTCAGGTCTGGGAGGGAGAGTAAAAATGGGCAAGAGGGCACAGAGGAAGTGGGAGCTGGGTTAGTCTGCCTTTATGTATCATGAGAGGACTTTGTCCTGAAAGTTCTCCCTCCTGGTGAAGGGCACTGGACTGGAAAGCTATGAAAGTAACAAGCTTGTGCCAAGTCAAGGAGGGGAGAACGGAATTATTGTCAGGGCTGTGGGGGTGGAGTCACTCTTTGGGCTCCAAGAAGCCCTCCAGGAACCCTGATGAGTAGCTCTAAGCTATGTGCCCTACTTTAGAGAATGTTAAAATCTTTTCTTTGGTGTTGGCCTATTCACTGCTCTAAAGATCCATATCTTCTTGGGGGAGTTGATTTACACATTTTTATTGGAGGACAGCAGGGGAGTGGGTCTCTCTCATCAATGGGAGCATTCACAGGTTCTTGAGCCAATCCAGACTTGCACCCCCTGAGGGTGGCTGGGCACACTGGGTATGTTCCCATCATCTTCAATGGGAACTGGGTAGTTGTAGGGTGTGGCCTGGTTGGTCATGGTGGCACATTTAGTATATGGTCTGAAATCATAATTATAGCAAGGCTTCCTACACAATGACCACCAGCACTGGCTCCTTCACCTAAGCATCCTTCTCTTGTTTTTGTTTTTTGAAATAAGGTCTACGTAGTCCTGGTTGTCCTAGAACTTGCTCTGTAGACCAGGTTGGCCTGCAACTCAGAAAGCTGCCTGCCTCTGCCTCCTGAATGCTGGGATTAAAGGCGTGTGCCATCACACCTAGCCAAGATCTCACTTGTTTTGTGTTGTTGTTTTGAGATGGCCGGTCTCATGTAGCCCAGACTGGCTGTGAACTTTCTATATAGCTGAGAATGACACTGAATTCCTGCCTCTATCTCCTAGGTGCTGGGTTTACAGGTGGGTGTCACCACACCTGGTTTTATGTGGGATCACACCCAGCTTCATGTGTGCTAAGCAAGCACACTACTGCTTGAGGTACACCCCTAGTCTTTACTTAGTTTTTATAGCCAGAGTCCCACAGCTTTTCAGCTGAAAAACTGAGGCTGAGACTTCGACCAGACTGACTCCTGTAACTGGGTAGACCTTGCTTAGTACAGTGATAGTCCAATCTGAAGAACCTGACCAGAACGTCCCTGACAAAAATCTGAATGTCTTTTAAGCCAGATGGTAGTGGCGCATGCCTTTAATCCCAGCACTTGGGAGGCAGGGGTAGGCAGATCTCTGAGTTCAAGGGCAGCCTGGGCTACAGAGTGAGCTCCAGGACAGCCAGGGGGACACCGAGAAACCCTGTCTTAAATAAACAAACCAACTGAACGTCTCTGAACTTCAAGTGGCAGCACTAAGATGGCTGTTGCCACAGGACAGTAGCTGCTACCAAGCAAAGCCGTTTGACTAACTGGCTTCCCTCCTCCCTTCCCTTTGGCACCCCACCACCTACCCCCAATCTGTCCCTACGGGCTTTTCCAGAGCAGCCCACAACTATCACCCACTTGCTGGGCCCAAAAAGGAGCAGAGACTTGGCCAGAGCCACGCAGCCTCAGTCACTGAAGCCTGACTGATAATCTACTAGAGCTCTGGGCAGGGAGAGGAATTAGCTGGCCTCCACCCTTTGCCACCCTTTGCCAGCATACTGCGCCTCACACACAACCACTTGGTTCCTTCCATAGGTACCCGTGTGGAAGCAGGGGTGGGAAGTGAAGAGGGGTTCCTCTGCCCAGGGAGGGCTGCCATTTCATCATGGACCAACTGCTTCTCTGTCCCTGCTTTGCCACCTGAAACGCTGTCTCTAGCTCCAGCAAACACGGAAGGAGTCAGGGTGGTAAGCAATGTCAAAGCCACCGCACTCATGCCATTGCTGTGCTCAACTCCAGGCACTATAAGAGAGGCCAGGACAGCGAACAGATAAAGGGCAGGAATTCCAGTAAGTTCCTGACTCCTTGGCAAAAGATCTATACCCTTTCTTACAATGCAATCTACTCAGGTCCTGATCTTAATCCTTCAGAGACTTCATTTAAAGGTCATGTTCCCCTGCCTTGGGCTATCTGATTCCCAGTGGACCATACTGTCCATTTTCTGGTGACTAACTCAGACTTTCCTATGCTCTTTTGAGTTACTAGCCTCTTGAGAATCTGAAAACCATGGCCTTTTTCTCCAGAAAAACATCCCTATATGGAATTCTGCACACAACCAATCCAGAAGGCCACAGAAACACTCACTTCTCTATCTGCTTGCCCAGTATCCTCCTATAAAATCATCTCCCACACCCCTGGTGCTGCCACTGCTTTTGGCCCAGTCACGTCCATCTTCGCTATTTACATGCTCTCCCATTCCCTCATCCTCCCCCAAGTTTCTCTTTGTGGTCTCTTCTAGCTACTGCACTTCTGGGACAGGTGCTGGGCCCAGACGAACAAGGAAGGGTTGTTCCTTGACAGTAAACAGTGAGGAAGGGGTGTGAGATGGCTGCTTGGAGCTAAGGCCTAAACAGGGATAAAGTCAGCTGGTCCCAGGGCGGAGCCTGCTTAAAACAAATAAAAACAAAAGACTTGAAGCGTGAGACTTGGGCATCCCCTGGTGGCCAAATGGCTTCCACACATAAGATAAAACTATGGCAGACAGTAAAAAAAACCAAAGCACATCACCATCCGTCCAGATGATTCTCTCCCTCACCGCCATGCCATGCTCCCCACAAAACTATCACAAAACACACCCCTAGAGGTTTTCTCCTTTTTTTAATCAATGACCACCTTTATCCAGCTTTGGACATCTGGACAAAAAGGAGGCTGAGAGGAGACCTGGTCCAGTGTCTAAGGGTCTCTGAGTGAGTCTGTCAGCACATGGCCCAGCTGGGCCTGTCATCAGTTGGGCACAGCAGTTTCCTGAGTATGAGCCAGTCCCACCCTCAGGGCAGCGTCCTGGTCCAGAGAGGAATAAAGGCCCCAGGTTGGGCCTATTCCCAAGGCCTTCAGGACGGTCAATAAATAGGTTAGATTCTGAGCCAGGCCTGGGAGGACGGGGTGTAAAAAGGGCAGGATCAGCTGCCCAGGGATCCCAAAGAGGCCCTGGGTACTCTCCTGCCCTTCTCCAACAAGGAAGTAATAAATAGACCTTAACCTCAGGAACAGGGGTGTTGGAGCAGGGGATCCTTCCCCTAAAGTTAGTAATTAAATCTCATGTTAAAAACAAACCAGCCCTAACCCCTACCAGCATCTACAAAATCCTACAGGATAGGGTGACGGGCTAGCCTGCTGGGGTACACAGTACCCAGCCCTGCAGGGTCCTGGAGGAGGCTTCATGTTTGTTCAGCGGCCCCTGGGGCTCCTTCTTCCTTTGGGGGTGGCTCCAGGAAAATAGGGGTGACTGGTGGTGGCTTCTTCACTCTGAAATGTAACAGAAGAATGATCTAGAGAAGATGACATGCTCCAACCCCAGGAGGGTATCTCCCAGGGCAGAAGAGGCGACTCACGAGTATGGAGAGGCTGGGACCCCCACCACCAGAAAGTGGTTCTTCTTCCGAAATAATCTCCACAGGCCCTGGTGGTTACCACGAACATCCAGGTCCCAAATATGGAGGCACTGGCAGGGATAGAGTAGGAGAAAGGGATGGGTCAGGAAGTGTGGAGATGGCCCACTGAAGGTCTAGCAGCTGCCTCAATCTTCAAGAGCAAGCATCCTCTGGAGTATGGATTTGAGCAAGGGTTTAGAAGAGAGGTTCGTTGTTTCTTTGTTTTTTTGAAACAGAGTTTCTCTGTGTAGCCCTGGCCATTCTGGAACTTGGTCTGTAGACCAGGCTGGCCTTAAACCTAAGAGATCCACCTGCCTCTGCCTCCCTGAGAGCTTGTATTAAAGGCATTCACCACCAGAGAACCACACCTGGCCAGGAAGTGGGGTTCTTGAGAGCATGAAAAGGTTCTGAGGTTGAAAACTCTACAAAAGACTCTCTGCTAGGTGGGCAATGCATGTTGGTGAGGGTACTTCTGAGGCAGGTGAGCCCTGGGGCACCTTGGCAAGCTGAGTCCAGGTGGTGAAGTCATCATCTTTTTCCATTCGGATAAAGGCCACATAGGTATGGCCCTCTGTGTCTGGCAGGAAGGAGTCCTCACAAGGGTCCTTGCTGTGGTCCAAAACCTCGGCTTCACTGCATTGGGGACAGAAAAGTAAGGCCAGGACAGGACACACTTCCCAGGTGTGGTACATGCTCTGTTGCTACTGAAATTCTTTTTATTTATTTAATTATTTTTGGTTTTTCAAAATAGGGTCTCTCTGTGTGCCCTGGCTGTCCTGGAACTTGCTCTGTAGACCAGTCTGGCCTCAAACTCAGAGATCCGCCTGTCTCTGCCTCCCAAGTGCTGGGATTAAATGTGTGTGCCAACAGCGCCCAGCCATCTTGAAATTCTTTGTAATGTTTGCACTAGAGAACTCTGGTTTTCATTATCTATAGTGTCCATAAGTGGTACTAAGAAAGCCTGTATTTTATTCCTTATCCCCTGCCATGCATCCTAGTTGCCTTAGGCCATACCTGAGCAGCCTGTGAATTTCCACTTCATAAGCTTCTTTCTTCAGACTGATGGGAAGAAGAAATGAATCAAGGGAGGGCGAGGCCCTCAGGCCGGTGGACAGGAATGGGCAGGGCGAGGGTCACAGGGGAAAGGCACAGCACAGCAGGGCTGAGGTAAATACCCAAGGCCCTGGACAGGAAAGAACCAGCAAGGACTGGTCATCAAGCCTGCAGCTGTCCACCCCCTTGACCTGCTGCCAGCCTCTACCTGTCTACATTCCTGAGCTGGACACCTGGAACCGTGTTGAACTTGTGCTTCTTGAAGTAGGCTTCCTGGAACGGGAGTGAGGACAAAGTCAGGGCCGCCTTTAGTCTGCCCACACTTGCTCACTGACCCACCACAGAACCACAGGACCCAAACAACGGAGTAGAGCCTGCAAAGGGCTCTCTGACTGCCTCCAGCCTCTCCATCTTCTTGGCACCATCTTTGACAAGCTTTTACTAGCTTTAATTTGGGCTGGTCCCTTGGCTCATGCTACTGATCCCTGAATTAGTCCTGTTCCCACTGGTTTTTCCCAGGCTTGCTGCAGAGCCTTAGAAATAAAGAAGCAAGATGGAGGCAGGAGGGTCAGAAGTTCAAGACCAGTCTCAGCTACATAATTTGGAGACAGCCTGGGATATAAGAGACCCTAAAAAAACAAAACAAGAGCTGGAGAGATGGCTCAGAAGTTGAGAACACTGACTGTTCTTCCAGAGGTCCTGAGTTCAATTCCCACCAACCACATGGCAGCTTACAACCATCTATAATGAGATCTGATGCCCTCTTCTGGCGTGCAGTCATACATGCAGACAGAATACCATATACATAATAAATAAATAAATCTTCAAAAGAGGTGGTGGTGGAGACACACGAGCACACACACACACAGAGAAGAGAGAGAGAGAGCGCTAGCTTTCTGTTGGATGAAGCCAATAGCCGAGATGGGTCAGAAGGAAGGAGACTGCTGATTCTGGCACCATGAATGACCTGAGGAAGCACTTGGCTTCCTTGGGAAATAAGGCTCTTTTATCAGCTTCCTCTGGGGGTCTTGCTGTCTTCCAGGATGTTCCAAACTAAATACACCCCTTGCAGCTGGACTGTTTCAAATACACTCTTATTATAACAGGAGAGTGGACCTCCAGATACAGCCAGGTGGAACGGAGGGGGCTAGGGACATCCTGGCTAACCTCAGGCTGAAACATGTGTGCCAATACTTGCAAGGACAGAAGGCGGCCCAGTGCTTAGAACAGGTATATCCTTTCTGCACCCACAGTTCAGTGATAGAAACAGTAGTAATATACAATATCAGCTACTCTAATATAAAGCTTACAGTTTTTAACATAATCTTTTTACATCTATGAACTCATTTAGACTTCATAATGAGGCTGGAGAGATGGCTCAGTGGTTAAGAGTACTTGCTGCTCTCTTATAGAGGTCCCTGGGTTCTCAGCACCCAAATGGTGGTTTACAGCCATCTGTAACTCCAGTCCCAGGAGATCAAGTGCCCTCTTCCAGATTCCTCAGCTATCAGGCATGAACAAGACACACATGCAGTGGGTAAAACACTCACAGACAGGTAGTTTGGCTGTTTTTATTTTCTGAGGGTCTTCATTATGAAGTCCAGATGGCCTCAAACTATTGACTGTCATGCCTCAGCCTCTCAAGTGGTGGGGTCACAAGGCTTGTGATCTATGTTTGGCCCCTGGGAGGCAGCATTTTAAAAAAAAATATTTATTTTTATGTGTATGGATGTTTTGCCTGCCTGTATGACTGCACCATGTATGTGCAGTGCCACAGAGTGGGGGGGTCCTGATCCTCTAGGACTGGAGGTACAGATGGTTGTGAACCACCATGTAGGTGCTGAGAATTGAATCCAGGTCTTTTTTTTTTTTTTTTTTAAAGATTTATTTATTTATTATGTGTACAGTGTTCTGCCTACATGCATGCTTGCAGGCCAGAAGAGGGCACCAGATCTCATTATGGATGGTTGTGAGCCACCATGTGGTTGCTGGGAATTGAACTCAGGACCTCTGGACGAATAGCCAGTGCTCTTAACTGCTGAGCCATCTCTCCAGCCCCCCAGAGGTAGCATTTTTTACCTTCATCTTCCAGATAGAGAAACTGGTAAAAACAGAACAGTAACTGACATGGCTAGTGAGTGTTGAGACTAGGCTCCAGAATCCATGTCCTTGACCACAAAGTCATATAGTACCCTACTCCCTAATACCCCACTCACATGGAAGTAGCCGTTCATGTTGAGGCCCACGATGCCAAAGTGATAGGATCGGGAAACATCCGGGATGATGCACTCTCGGCCCCGGCGCTGTTCCGGCATCCGCATCCACATGTCCCAGTCCCACAGCTGGGGTCACAGAATGTTATGAAGGCTACAAGTTTGGAGTTGATAGGGACTCCAGCCCATTCATCTTATCCTGCTGGGTACCTTTTCTGGTGTGGGCCACTTGGGCTCAAGCTCCTCCTTGTATAAAGATTTCCTGAGCACCCATCCCAACCCAGGCATGGTCTCCACACGGTACAGTAGTGCTGGATCCTCCGCTGTGTGTTCATACCCCTAAGGACAAGGGGTATCATGGAGCATTAGTTCCAAGCTTTGACAGACGCCCATGCTGACTAACCCCTAGCCACCCGACCTACCTGGTCATTCCAAGCAGAGATGCAGTACAGGCTGTCATCTTCCTCCAGCAGGTGGATGGACTGGCTCAGGAAACTGAGAGAGCCAGAGTTCAAGAGTTCAGAGAGGGACAAACCCAGATACACCACGATGCTGGAAGTGCAGAGCTGGTACTCTCACTGTCCCCATCTTTTCTATCGTCTATACAAGCCCAGCGTGTGCCCTCCGAGCTAGGCAAGCTCTCCCCCAACTTTGGAGCTCACTCAAAGCTCTCCAGCGTACCTCACCACATCCTTCCCTGGAGACCCAGTCAAGCACAGAACTCCCACGTGGCTTATAAGCACTTCAGTGGTGGGCTACCCCTGTCACCTGAAAAAATCCACAGCGATGTCCAGGTCCTCTTCCAGAACCACGGCA